TCTGTGTTGTATTGAATGGAATTGGGCGGCTATTTGATGGTTGTGAAATGGATGGAGTGAAGTAATTGGACGGAGTAAAGGGAATGGTTGTGAGATCGATTTTATTGCCCCTCAAAAATGATTTCATGGAAAATTGCAGGTATTATTCCTTCAGGGCTCTTGGTGTGATAAAAACTATCTTTCTTAATTTTTGCTACCGTTTCAACTTGTACGTAGTATGCGCTTGTAACTTACAAACACATAAAGTTATAGAAAAATTCCCACTTGACACTTTTAAAATCTCAACACTTTTGATTTACGAACTACGGCAATACTAATATTAATACTATTATTAGAACTTAAGACTGAGGAACAGCATTTAATATTAATACCAACCTTGGATACTATGGTTAATATAATATATTTGTTGAATCAAAGCATGGTTGACATTAGATGAAATTGGATGAAGTTATTGGATTATTGGATGAAGCCTAAAGTAGTGACCAAGCTTCTCACTTCACCGAATGATCTATCTCTTTTTGTCGGGCAACGGCAGGTAGGCCGTAGGCCGTGCCGCTCCCGGACGAGTCCTGTATGCAATGACCTAGCATTATCCTAATTTACTCTCATCACTACTAATTAGGATATGACCTAATATTAATGTTGGGTGACGTTTGGTTTAATTGAGTTTGGATTATTATTTGTTTACAGTTAAAAGGATGATATTTGGATGACGGTGGATGACGCATGATACTATCACGGATATTTGGAATCCATATAAATAATTCGAAGTACTAAGTACGACTATTAGTAGTACGTAGTAATACTTCGAAGTACTAGTACTAGTACTAGTATGCAGAGTAGTATTACTTCGAAGTACTAGTATGACGATATCCAATACTGGTAGTATAAATCGGAAACTATGGGAAAACGTTCAATAAATCTGGATACCGTTCAGCCAAGATTGAAATCCGTTCAAGCAAATTTTCTTCCCGTAACGCTGTAACCCCGGGACTTCGTCCTACCCCCGCGTGCACATACTTCGAAGTATAATGCTAAATTCCCGCGGTTAAGAGTTGAGGTGGTCAGAGTACAAAAACTATGCATCAGCTAACTAGTGTATCAGCTAACTAGTGTTTATTAGGAACGGTTTTCAGTCTCCTGAACGGTATCCTGATTTATTGAACGTTTTTCGGGGTTTGTCCTTTACTACGTAGTATGACCTCACGAGGAATAATTCCTTGACAGCAACAATTTCACTGTTGTTTACGTTTCGTTTCACTTTAATAGAACCAGTACTGCAGCCCTTAGTTCATCCGATGTTGCCCAAGCAGTTGAATTATTAAATTACTGCTATCCAATTGCCAATCTTGATGACCTCCATTAAAAACTTCCCTAATTGGCTGCAAAAAGAATCCAAATTTGTAGTCCGTGAGCCAATAAGCAGCAACATTTCGTACCATGTCGAAGTTTTTAGTCGAAGGTCGGAATCTGAGATGCTAGATATGATGGAAGGCTAGCTGAGAAAAGCAGACATAACGTAAAGAATCATTGATTTGCCGAACTGCAATGTCCAATAGAAAACCAGAATAGCAATGATTGGATAAAATAGAAGACTGCAAGAATGAAATCCTTCAGAATCTTATGGAGGGAAAACATATCGATTTAGACACGCTAATCACATCGCTTTGAGTCAAAATTGCCGCCAAGACCATCATACACGGCGGAATCCCCAACGCCATCAACGACATAGTCACCAAGGACCGCACGAATCCCTCGGCAGCACTCGCGTATAGCATTCGACAACGACGAACGCTGCGCCAGCACGTGGCCAAGTCCAAAAGCCACGATAATATCTTCAGGACGATGTTAACTGCTTCTCACTCTGCCCCACGAAAAGGTTTTGGTCACGCCAATCCTGGCCATGGAATAAGACGGTCATCCGGTCAACCGACATCATATATTGGACAAGGTCAACGAAATATTCGCCGTCATTCATGACATTCATGGCTATTCCTCACCTACTCAACTTACGGGAGCCTGGTTTCAGCGCATTCCTGCACGGCACCCCGAGCTCAAGAGTGCCAAATTCAATATCTTGAACAAGCCGCGGAACTAAGTGGCCGTGACCAGCTACATCAATGAGCTAGCCCACTTGACTTCTCTGGTTGAAGTGGACTCCACCCGCATCTTTAACATGTACGAAACCAGCTTTACTCCTACGAAGAACGCCCGGTAGGTTGTGGTTCATAATTCAACGAAGTCCATTTACGTTGCAGAATCATCAGCATCAGCACACGTCACCATCGCCGCTTGTGTCGGAGCTGACAGTACGAAGATCCCTTCGTTGTTCGTGCTCCCTGGTGATAGCGTCTCCACCGACGTGTATGACAGTCTTGTGATTCCTGGCGCGTCTGTGACTTGGTCGGAGAAAGGGTGGAGGAATTTGTTCATTTGTCGCAAGTGGCTTTCAATCCTTCACGCAGCAGTACCATCTACAACTTCTCGGCCGATCCCCTTGATTATGGACGGCTGTTCCTCGTATTATTCCAACCACATCTACGACGAGGCAACGCGACTTGGGATACTGCTGCAGTTTCTGCCCGCCAACGCAACCCACCTCTTTCAGCTGTATGATGTTACCGTCTTTCGACCATTCAAGCAAGCTCGATCGCGATTGCCGACGACATGGAAGGACGTCAGAAAATAACGAGCCATATCCATTGCATGCCATGTGTGGGTGACGACGACATAGTTAGCATCCATTACCAATGAGTTTGTACTGGCTTGTGTCCTCCTTCGTTGGAGGACATGATGTACCGTTTGTCGCTTTTCAAGCCAAGTCAACACGAAAGCGTTGATATTGACGATGTATGGCTTGAACGCTTACATCGGTCCGAAAGAACGTGCTGCTATTGCCGCCACAGAAGAAGAAATGTGGCCCACGGAAGACTTTGACAGTTAACGTTAGCGGGAAATTCATTACCGCAGAGTACCTTTGAGCGCAAAAAGACGTCCGTCCGACAGTCAAGAAACGAATCGTTGCCTTTGTAGAATTCAATGTACAAAAAAATGAGTATTTGTGGAAAAGCTTGGCACTCCCCGGGAATTGAACCCGGGGCCCATCCACCACCGCCTCATCGCCAAACTGATTTGCTACGCGCCAAGGCCTTGTCGTATCCCTTGTTTCAACAATAGGTTATGATAACCCCCAATATTTAATTATTGTGTAAAGATAATAATGTTTGTATAAATTGAAAATTGTGTTGCTTCACAGTCAACCCGAATTTTCAGTCTCCAAAATTTGGATACTTTAATCAAACTTAAATTTCGGCGAATCAATGATTCACTGTTTGAGTGACCGTTTTACGAATTTTATTGCTCAATGAATAAACCCTTAGTCTGATATGTAGCTGTATCATTGTGGTAGAGCTTGGAAAACCCATTTGTGAACACGCAATTTTCAAGATCTGCTTGTCGAAACTGCTCCAGCGATGGTTGAATGAAGATAGATCAAATTCAATGAATGCTTACGCTATTGTCTGAAAAGTTCGAAACTGTAAATCTGTAATTGGTAATTAAAATAAACGAGTGGGATTTCAGCGAAGGTCGCTTTTCTGGTAAAATGTCTTGAGCTTGATTGGTTCAAAATGTGAAATACTGCTACTACGTAGTAATACTTACTGTACGTAGTAAAATGCTTTTCACTCGTTTTGGCTATTCACACCATAAACCTGGGTGTTTGTTACATCGACCCCAGTGTTTTAGATAATCCGCACCGTGATATAGGATGTCACATTTCGTTACAGAATGGTATATGGAGGTCATTTATGCAACTCACTCACTTTTGCACATTTGAAAAGTGCAAATCGATGTTATATCTGCTATTCTAGGGACCAAGTTGCACAATTCACTGGTCATCATGAACAACTTTTGATAACTAAGTTAATACAAATGACACATTGCGCCGAAGTTCTACCGTACAGCGATGTACGTATGGTGCTACATCGTAGAAAACCACGCCATCTTCTTGTTCCATCGCATAGTACATGCAGGTAGCGTGTACTACGCGATAGAATAACAGCCAAGGTGTTTTGGTCACTTCAGCTCACATGTTGATTATTATTGCTCAGAGTTATTAGGCATTTATAAAACCCCAGTGAATTAGCTAAAACACTAGGTATTTATTCAACTTTGTAACACAGTTACAGCAGAAGTACCACTCTTTTAGCCACGTAAAGCCGACGCCAAAACAAGTGCAAT